ATTATTATTATTATTATTATTATTATTATTATTATTATTATTATTATTATTATTATTATTATTATTATTATTATTATTATTATTATTATTATTATTATTATTATTATTATTATTATTATTGCATTTGCTGATTTAGCAAAAGCTTATGATCATGTAAATAGACTTAATTATGTAATACTTTACAAGCATATGAAGGTAAGGTTCCTGAATGAGACAAGATGGATATATGATGGAAGTAAAGCATACACAAGAATATATGAAAAAAGAATAAATAATATGGAGATACAAAATTAATTGCTCCAGGAAATGTTTTGAGAATTGTGAAATATACTGTTTTCCTAGAGACCATGCCTTCAGTTTTTGGATCATGTTGTTCAGGAGAAGTCTGGTGATTTTCATAACTAAATCCTCTTCATAGGAAAAAGTTTGAGGTATTCTGCAACTTATGTAATCCCCAAATAGGCGTGTTTCATTAGGAATGTTTTATCAAGAATACCTTGAACTATTTCCCATTTCTAAACTACACCTTGAATTAGCCTAGGCAGGGAAATGGAATGTTCCTGAGTTTTCCAAAATTGAATATTTTGACCCAGAATTGACGAATTTTGTACATCCTTCATGAATGGGTTGAAGGGAAGAGAAAGATGGATAAAAAACCTAGTCGATTGGCTTGAATTGCTAAGATCCTCCAAAAAGAGAAAACGTGAAGTTTAAAGAACAAATGGCAGTGTATAATCCAGGTAAGAACATGGAAATAACAAGGATGGTTTCCAGAGGCAGAAAGGCATGGAGAGGTATAATGAATATTGTTGTAAAGTATATTTACTTTTCTCTTACTCTTTGCCTTTATTTTGCTCACCATTTGCTCAATTGTTATATATGTATGATTGTTTGGTATATATCTATGTTGCTTACAGAAAAATCACTACCATTGAAACCCTTAACCTAGGTTACTGTATAAATTAATGTTTTTGTATTATGTCATTATTTCAAAACCAAAGGAATATTTTCAAAATCATTGATAAATAAGAATGTCTGCCTACAGTTGAAAGGACTTGTTGGGAGAGAATCTGTTAGTTATAAAACTGCAAATGCTAAAAATTGTACATAGATATCAAATGATTCAGCAGCACAAGGAAATATTAACACGTCACATGTGATAAAACTGGAGAGAGAAGTATCTTCTATTGGATTTGTTATCTTTTTACAAACACCCTCCCCCCCCCCCCTTAGCTAAGAATAAAGAAGAAAAATTACTCTTGGCACTATGTGATCTTTTTTACTGCATCTGATCTTTTTTTTTTCCTCCAGCAATGAGAGTAAATGTATCTTGGGAGGGAAAAAAAATCAGCTGTAAATCAAGTCCAGGTCTCCAAGGTGATAGCAATAGAAGTTGTCTAATTAGAAACGTTGCTATCAATCTCCCCACATCAAATTGATACGAGGCATAGTCGTGAAAAGAAAGAATGAGAGATGAATATACAAGTAACTGTAATCCCACTACAGAAGTTTAATCTTAATTAAATTGAAACCACTGATTAATTGCTGAAATGTATTTTCTTGTTTTTAAAAAGCAAAAGATAATATAAACTATACACTGCCTGTAAGAAAGGCGGGGGCAAGGATCTGATGGAGCCGCAAGCTTAACATAAAGACCAGCCTCGGTGATGAATGACGAGGGAGTTAGTTTCCACATAAGCAACTCATCAAAATGTGGTCTTTAATTTGGGCTCACATATGATTAACCAGGGAGTGTGTGTTCATTTCCTTCCACCGTAATTAAGGGGAGATGCACCAGATTCACAAATTCCAAGGGGACCATTTAAAGTCTGGTACATTACATGGCGCTCTTATTAAAGGGCCATCTCTGGTAAATAAAACAGTTCACGGTGCCAAATGAACATTTTGCAAACCTTAAAATGAAATGAGTTTGTAATGAAAGACCATGTGTTTTAATGGTTGTCTGCACTGCAGATTAACAGCAGTCAGAACTGCAGATGTGGGGTCTTTATAGAGGCTGCTGAAGTAATTAATACTGGATTTTAGCTTAAAGAACCACTGGAATTAGCCCACAATTTATTTTTGAGGAATGATCACAGAACTGACACAGGTAACTTATAGTATTCTGCCTGGGACTCCTCCAAAAAATAAAACATGGTCTTGAATATTATTTATAATATTCTAAATTTCCCCCTGTTTTCTTTTATATGGAATACTTAAGGGTGATATAAAAATGTCTATCTGCCTCCACCTCCTTGTTTGATGGACTCCAAACATGACTCCCCAGCTTATTCTCCATTGCTGTACATCAGATATGTCAAACTCGCGACGTCACGTGACGTCGTGCAACGTATCGGGATGGTTTTGCCATTGCCAGCAATGGGGTGAGCGCGGTTTCCGGATGATGCATCCGGCCCGTGGGCTGGCAGTTTGACACCCCTGCTTTACATGATCACCCACAAGGTCATTCCTGCTGGTTCCCCCCCCCAACTCTGCTGGTCTAACCCTAACCTTCCCCCCATCCCTGATGGTACTATTTCTAGTGATAAAATATTATAGCCTATGATTGATTTCTTCAGTTCACAACTAAGACTGGGAATAATTTGTCCCCATTTCTATTGTCAGTGAAGCAAATTTGCTTTTCTCCCCTCCCCTTTGACTGGGGGCAAAGAAAGACTGGCACAGGGGCAGGAAAAGTTGGGCTTATCTCATCTCCAAATCATGCACTCTAATGTCATCTGAACTGGAGGCCAGTAGAAGAACAAAGTTCCAATTTCTGGTTTCGGTTATATAGGGGACTTGCTATAATAATAATAATAATAATAATAATAATAATAATAATAATAATAATAATAATAATAATAATAATAATAATAACAACAACAACAACAACAACAACAACAACAACAACAACAACAACGTTGGAAGGGACCTTGGAGGTCATCAAGTCCAACCCCCTGCTCAGTAACCCTACCATACCCATGTAACCCTATACCATTTCGGACAAATGGCTGTCCAGTTTCTTCTTAAAAACTTCCAGTGTTGGAGCATTCACCGCTTCTGGAGGCAGGTTGTTCCACTGGTTAATTGTTCTAACTATCAGGAAGTTTCTTCTTAGTTCTAGTTTGCTTCTCTCTTTGGTTAGTTTCCATCCATTGCTTCTTGTCCTGCCTTCAGGCGCTTTGGAAAATAGCTTGACTCCCTCTTCTTTGTGGCAGCCCCTGAGATATTGAAACACTGCTATCATGTCCCCCCTCGTCCTTCTCTTCATTAAACTAGACATACCCAATTCCAGCAACCATTCCTTATATGTTTTAGCGCCCAGTCCCCTAATCATCTTTGTTGCTCTTCTCTGTAGTCTTTCTAGAGTCTCAACATCTTTTTTACACCGTGGTGACCAAAACTGGATGCAGTATTCCAAGTGTGGCCTTACCAAGGCATTGTAAAGTGGTATTAATACTTCACGTGATCTTGATTCTATCCCTCTGTTAATGCAGCCTAGCACTGTGTTGGCTTTTTTGGCAGCTGCAGCACACTGCTGTCTCATATTTAAACGATTGTCCACTAGGACACCGAGATCCCTCTCACAGTTACTACTATTGAGCAAGGTACCCCCTATACTATACCTGTACATTTGATTTTTCTTGCCTAAATGTAGAACCTTACCTTTTTCACCATTGAATTTCATTTTGTTAGATAGCGCCCAGTGTTCAAGATATCCAATGTGCAGATGATATTCTACCATGGGCATATTCCATTCATGAATAAGAGAGTCAGCATATTGCCCCCAACTATTTGGGTCCTCAGAAAGATGGAAGACTGAGCCAGCCTAGAGCCAGTGAGAACTGAACTGCTGGCAGTTGGCAGAATTAGCCTGCAATACTGCATTCTAACCACTGCACCACATGGCTCTTGATCCAGTATAATAATTTCAGCTGTGAAAAAGCTGTGATGGTTTCATTGTGCATCTACACAAAGAAGGAGGTTAAGAACATGAAATAGATACTATACACTTACAGTTTGGATTCCTGCTACGCTGGTCACAGATGCGGCATTGAGGGTTTCTTGCTGGCTGGCCAGGGACATGTTCCACCAGCTTACAGTACATCTCTGGACCTCTTTTGCCACAGGTAGCATTTGTGGTGATGAGAGAATTAGAAGCCAAGTTCAGCACTGCTGGAAACAAACCTGAACAAAGAAAAAGGAAGCAACACTATAGTAAAATATTCATAGGAATGTTGTACATTTTGGTACAGGAATTAATGACATCCTTTCTACGGCAGTTTTAGAAGTCATATTGATTCAGTATGCATAGGATACA